TGGTGGTACTGGGAATTGAACTCAGGATCTTGCACTTGCCAGGCAAGTGCTTATTCTACTGAGCTATCTCCCCAGCCCCCGCTGAGCTATTTGGCTGGCACTCATATTTCAAACAATACTCAGGTGCTCATTTTACTGCTGTCCCCTAGTCTAGGAGCTCTATGTAGAAAGAGACTATGACTTTCATACCTCTGCCTAAAACAAGGCCAGTATTATCTGTTCAATAAATGTTTATGAAGAAATATCTAGCAAAACATAAGATCCCAAATGAAGCCTCTCTATTCTATAAGTATGTTTATAAAATTTAGAGGCTATTTTCTGAATATTTGGCTTACTGATAATAGATTAAAAAAATAATAGTATTAAAACATTGTGGGAAGCCATTTTTGGAGTGAGTTCTTATATTCTAGGCCCAGAGTAGAACAAAACAAAATGGAGTTATTCATAGCTGGGCACGGTGGTTCATGACTGTAATCCCAGCACTAGAGAGGCTGAGGCAGGAGGATCATTGGGAGTTTGAGACCAGGCTGGGCTACAAAGTGAGCTTCTATCAAAACATAAGGAAAAGCTAGACTGAAATAAATGCCACAGGAAAGAGGCAAAGCAAATTCTCAGGATGATGGTGATAGGACTATCAGGGGCAACTGTGTACACAACCAAGAGAGCAAACCATCCAGACTAAAGAAGCATAACTCCAGAGATAGCATTCAAGAATAACTGTCACCACGAAGACGGCTCTTACTATTGTATTGGCGCTTTCATCTGACAATGCTAAGGTAAATCTTTCCCAGATGAATTTTTGTCCAAGTTTTGCCTAGACTATGTGCTAATGAAGTTCCTGCTTTTTCTCCATGCCTTGTGTGACCATTAATTTTGATATATCAACTTTATTACATTAAGAAACACCTAGTGGTCCTACCCTTCCAAGGTCAATTAAGACTCAGGACATATGAGATCTAGTACTGTAACGTCATGTAACTCAGTAGTGTCTCAAATTTTCTGATCCAGGAGATTATGGGGCCAAAGAGGAAAGTGATCGATGATATAGAGTGTGCCTAAGGAGAGTCACATGGAGAGAAAACATTCTCTCAGGCTTTCATGGGGAGCACATTGGCCAAGCAATGGCCGTGACTCATCCACATGGCTGACACTGACAAAGGTTCTACAATCTGAGGTACAGGATCTCAGGATAAATCCTGAGGGGATTTCACTGACCTTATCAGATCCAAAAGCTACAACTCTTGTTGCATAGGTCTTGCTTTATCTTGGTCTTAACCATCCAGCAGAAAAGTATAAAAACGAAGTATAAGAAGTAAAGCCATGTTGTTATGTTAAGCTGTAGGGGACTCTGGTCAACAATTTCTGGCACTGCCAGTCAAGTGGAAGACCCAATACTATTATGGACTACTGGACTCTTTTAGAATATTTTGCTGAGTTAACACACCTATAATATTCAAATGACGGAACTAAACAAAAAAGGGGATATATAAATGAATGTCTATTTTGTATCTGTGTATTCAAAATGGTTAGGATAGATATATAGTTACATTCTCTTAATGAATAGAGGGATTTGTTGTAATAGTGTTTGTAAATAGGATATCATGTCTGCATCTTGTACAGCAAATTACCACTAGGAAGAGAGTATGCAATGTGTTAATTATTGAAACTGTCCTACCAATTTGATTTGAAATGGACTCATTGCTATTTGTCTCTCAATAAAATTATGCAAAAAAAAAAAAAAAAAAAAAGGAAACACCTAGTGGATTGGTAAGGCACATTCCTGAGATGTGTCTGAGTGGGTAAAGGAGATGTGACCTGGATATTGTATACGATCTCTTATCCACTTCTGTCTAGCACTGCTCCCCTTCTGATTCTGCATGACCATGAACTACACACTGTGCTCTGCCATGCCCTATTCTAGTGATAGTGAACCTTTTAAAGCTTTCAATAATACAAACAGCCCGCTGCAGCACACATGCCATAGGTTTGCACTACTGCCCTAGCACCATGATAGATCTGCCTTGGAGTCTGCCAACTACGTACTAAATCTCCTGAAACCATAAGCTATTTTCCTCCTTTAAACTGTGGGTGTCAGGTGTGTGTCCAGAAATGGTAGGGCTGACTAGTATACCTGATCTCCTAGATCAGCTCAGGGCTATCATTTTCATCCAAAAAAATATATACTGCTTTGACCTACTTCTGAGAACTAAAAGTTGACTATAATGAACTTGGTAGCAGAAAACAGAGTAGCCCATATCCTTTAACCCTGTTCCTGCTGAATATCTTGTAAGAACCTGGTCCATACTGCACAGTGCCAACACACTGACTATAATGAGGCCGATGTTTCTTGCGATTGGTTACTCACTATTTTCCCCAAAAGGTATTCTTATAAACTATCAGAAAAGTTGAAGATAGGTCATGATTCAGGAATATCAGCTTTTCCTTACTTTAAGAGGGATGCAACCTTTTCTTAAGCAGGAAATTTTGTACTTTGACACTAGTCAGTTTACATATTTTTATACTTTAAACATAAATAGATAAAACATAAGTAAGATAACTTAAAATTTACTTTAAAAATTCATTAAGAGAGTAGAAACTGCTATAAAGGAAATGAAACTTGCTGACAGGACAGAGTACCATGGGCAATACCAATGATGGCAAAAAGTTTTCAATGACACTGAACAATTTTTGTTCCAACACAGGCAAGAATCTCAATTGTAAGTGGAAATAATTGTTTTTGCTGAAAGCCTTAAAAGAGCCAGCTTCTAGAAATTTAAACACACTTGGTTCACAATTCACACTGTCAGTTATATTACATAAACATATACTCTGTGACTTTATTTACATGCCAAATTAGTGGACTCTCAATTATCTTCAAATCAATCTTTTTTTCTACAATAGAACAATGTTCAATTTCTGTTAATCAAAATGATCTCAGTGAGCTGGTATAAAATATTTTCCAGAAAATCTTAACAGATTCATCGGAGAATTTTCTAGGTCACAATTACTGAAAATGTTTACCTGTAGTTTTGGGGATAATGTTTTATTTTTAAATAAATTCAATATTTCCCTTACACAGATTCCACTAACAGTAATAGGCGAGACAAAGTAAAGGTAAAGTCCTTAAAGAACACTAACCTAGTGCTGGCAGGCACAGCTCCATTTGTGTTAACAGTCACTCACAAAAGGAGTAAACTTTTGCAAATTTGTAGGTAGCTACTATGTACATTCTACAAATAATTCTATGTCATTTAGACAAAGCTAATTCCATGTCTTCTAGTTTGCATTATCTAACTCAACCTAATCTATCGGATTTGCTGTTAAAGGATGCTGCCCATCAGTTTTTGTTAATAAATTGAAACCATCTCAGAGAAACAACCAACATTGTACAAAAGACTTCTGGAGTTCTCCATTCCCCATGTAGTGCTCTAGGGTTCTCTGTTCGCTTTTTGTTCACTTCCTATGAACAGTCAGGTTAAATGGCTCTAAGTTCCTCAAATGTCACTTTTTTTTTCTTTTGAGAGAGAGCTTTGCTGTGTAGCTCAGGCTAGCTTTGAACTCACTGTTGCCCAGGCTGGCCTTGAACTCGCAGCAATCCTCCTCCCTCAGCCTCTCAAATGCTGGGACTACAAGCCTGTGTGCCATCCACTACTATGCCCGGTTCTCAACTGTCACGTTCAGTTACGCCATTATACAAGCCATTCTGTCTCTTCATTTGTTCTTACGATTTTTAGACCTCAGTGTAGGCTTCACCTCCCAAGAAGACTTCCCCAAGCATACTTTCCCATGACATCTGGTATTCTGTGTAATAGTCATCACACCAGCAATTAACATTATTTTCACACTAAATTGCAAGCTTCAGAGGACAGGAATCAAGTGTACTTTATTTATGCTCTACCTGTATCATTTAATATAGCACATGTAAGTATCTGTTAAACTGAACTAAAATTTTCATCATTAGATTTAAACATAAGGGCTGGTGAGATGGCTCAGTGGTCTAAAGCACCTACTTAGAACAAGCTAAGCTAAGCAAAGCCCAGGGACCACGGTTCAATCCCCCAGCACCACATGCCAGCCAGCCCCGCCCCCTGGTGGGCTGAGCTGGCCACACACACACACAAAATAAAGAAATAAATAAATATTAAAAAAAAAAAGATTTAAACATAAGTATTTCCAGGTAACTTAATTCAAGCGCTCTGAGATAAACACCTGACTTTTAACCTTCCTACCCTCCTCTCTGTTATCACTCATTCTACTTCCTCCACAAGTTAACAACCAGTTAGGCTGAGAGGGAAAGTCAGATTCATTATATGACTGTTTCACTAATATTAGGACTTTATTCTTTTCTATAAATTCCTTTTAAGTTTTAATATAATTACATCATAATTATATGTAATTATAATGACAGTTAAAATAATGATTGACCATCATTACATAAATATTGGCTGTAAATTTCATATGTATTAGACACAATACTAACTGTATCTAAAATATGAAGTTATTGGCATCTACTTCCAGTCAGGACATACTTAATCTTTTTTTTCTTTTGAAAATGTATTGACAGTATTAACAATAAAATTCTTTATCTTTTAAAGCTATATAATATATACTTTTTTTTTTTTGAGACAAGGCCTCATTATGTAGTCCAGGCTGGCCTGAAACTCATCATCCTCCTGCTCAACCTCCAGAGGAGGAGGTTAATAGTCACCACACCCAACTAGATAATTTCTCTCACTGACAGAAGGACACACTAACAATGTTTTGTTTTTTAAGTTAATTTTAGAAGGAAATTATCAGAAAAATTTGAGAAACAAAAATAGATTAGTATATGCACTTGCCTTGGAGAGGCAGACCAAAATACAATCTTTTTTTTTTTTTTTTGAATTTAGTACAAGGTCTGCAGGGTCTACAGAGTCTCACTACATAGATTGGACTCAAGTAGTGATTCTCCTGTTTTCAACCTCCCAAGCACTGGGATTACAGACACATGCCACCACACCCAGTCTCAACTCCCCTCTCAGCATGCCCTGGGGGCAGGGCCACCTCAGCACACTGGGGATCAAACCCCAGCTGCTGTGTTCTACCTAAGCAGGTGCTTTAGTCCACTGAGCTACCTGGCCAGCCTCTCATAAATACATTCTTAATAATGAGAAAATAAAAATTTAATTTTTATCAGTTATTCATATTGCACAGTCTTCTTACCTTAGAAGTTGTGTTATCCCAAATGGCTAGGCCAAAGTAGTCTTCTTCCAAAAGATTGAGGTGCTCACATACTCGTTTAAGCAAGTCTTGTCCCTTGGCATGTTTCTGCAAAGACACACATATTTTAGTTGAAGCTTCTTCTTACTCTTGTATCCATCACCAAATAAAGGCCTCATTTTCCAATTTCTTCTTTTTTTTCTTTTTTGTATTTTTTAGGGAAGGGCCTACAGGGTGTTCAGGGTCTCACTACTAGATCGGACTCATAGTGATATGCCTGTTTACAGTCTCCCAAGAGCTGGGATTATAGGCGAGCCACCATGCCTAGTCTCAACTGTCATCTCAGCACACCCCGAGGGTGCAGGCCCATCCAAGTTCTTCTTTTAGCCTTGGTTACTACCAAATTTTCACACGACTCCACATTCTAAGTAGAACAACGTAATTTATAAAATTCTTGCCCCTTGTGGGCTTACAAATGCAACACACTTATTGTACCTTAGAAACTATTATAATGCAAAGCAAAATTCTTTTTTCTACCAGGGATCAAACTCAGGACCTTGCATTTGCCAGGCAGGTGCTTAAGCCGCTGAGCTATCTTCCAGCACAAAGCAAAATTCTACCTTCCCTTTATCTACTATTTCCCTCCAAACTACCGCATTTTAAAATTTTGGTGCAATATTTCCTGAAGCATGCTATGTCAGTCACCATGGCCAATGGGATCACCCGCAAATCAACTGTCAATACTGACAGTTAATTGTGGCTATGGAAATCATTAGATCGTCATTTTTAGAAAAAGAGACTATCCTAGGAGAATAAGCTATGCCTCAGGCTTCTATGGTCTCGTTTATATAAAGTAAAATTCTAGATAGACATTGCCACTAACTGTTGGAAGTCTTCCAGTAGTATTTCAAATAATTTTCTTAATATTTTGTGACCTAGGAAGTCACACCTCTCCCAAATATGAGTACTTATATTTCTCTCTATAAGGAGGAAATATCCTCTAACAAGATATTTATTGTGAGTTATCCTAACTTATGTTAAAAATTTGTTAAAAGTCCCATCTCCTTCATTTACTGACCAATGTCAGCAAACCTAAGTAGTTTTATTTAATTTGAGCTTTCTTCTGTGTAAAATGATAAGAATTTTTATACCTGTCCTAGGCATATCACCTACACCTATCTGTAGAAGTTTTTGGCAAAAAAAGAAAAACATGCTAGTCTTCTGAGAAATATACGCTAATTACATCAAAAAAATTTTTTTTAATTTTTAAATTACTGTACTGAAAACCTAATCCAGACCCTGTGTATACTAAGCAAGAGCTTTACCATGGAGCTACAATCCCCAACTCTAATCTTTTTTGCTCACGTACATGACAATACTGTGAGATGAGCTATTTTTAATGACTATTAGTTAATTATCATAAATGTTCATTCATTTTAGTGTTAACCCATTTAGGTTATATCTTTTCACTTTTTTAAAAATTTCCTATTTTCCTTTTAAATTACAGAAGACGATTTGTAATCTCTTACTAATAATTTCAAAATCTAGAAGTTCTGAAAAACAAATTTTAGTTTTTGCTTTATGTTGGTTTATCACTAAAGCTCATTTGAAGGAAAATTCTGACCTGAGCTGTAAAGAGGCTATTGAATCTTCACATATTTTTCCATAGAAATAATATGATTCTACAAGGACTGCTCTAGATACTGATGGAAGTGTTATGAAATACACGAACTATATAGACCTGTTGCCTTGCTAAAATCTAATTTATCTTGAATTCTGAAACACCTCTCATCTCTGCATCCATGGGCTACAGACACAAGGGCTCATGTCCACACCTTGTTCTGAACGAGAAGAATGACTACACAGTTTGTGCATGTGTTCTCATATTCTCTCTCTCTCTCTCAGAAGACATAAGACCCATTCATAATTCACTCACACTCTTCATCTCCAGAAAATAACTATTAGTATTTTAATTCACAGAAACACTCATTAGAGTAGGTCTCATCATAAACAAAGGCACTATTTACCCATCTCTACATGAAACAGTTTGTTAAGAGTTCTGACTACTAAAAATTAGAATGAACTCACCTCCACAACACATTCATAAACTGTATCATCCAGCAATGAGACCTTGCAGTGCATGTTTCTGTGTCTTCTGACAGATTTCTGGGAAGCCTTTAAATCTCTTTCTGCTTTTGATTCAAGATCTTCTTTTACTTCTGTTTTGGAGTACTCCTCAATTCCTTCTTCCTTAGTTTCAAAATCTAGATCTTCTCTGTGTTCTTCTTGAGCTGGCTGCACACCCATGACATCCCCAAGATAGTAATAAAGACATTTCACAAAATATACTCTGTACATGTTTATCTACAATAATTCTACCAATGACAGTACTAACTGAAAAAGAAAATATATTAAAATGAGCATAGGTAAAATTAATATTAAATACTTTTTATAAAATAGATGTTATGATCCCCCAAAAGATCCTCAGATATTACTATTTGCAAAATTTCTCAGGGAGAGTCCTATCGAATCAATAAGTAAAGGTTCAGGTAAACTACAGGACACCTATCTATTTTTCTCAGCATTATACATTTTTCCTATGATACATGACATTACATTTTATTAAAACTTGATCATCTTTGTCCCATGCTCCTCAATTTTGGTAAGGAAACTTTATGAATTGTAAGCTAAAATGTGATTTCTTTGGTAAATTTTGAATTTTATAAATGACTGAGAGAGGTGCTCAGGACCTATTTTAAGTACTAAAAGCAAACAGATGTAAATTAAAACTGTAACTACCAGTCAATTCCTTTCTACCAGTAGTCAATCATGCTAGCTACAAACAAAATTCAAAGAAGAAAGAAACAGGTTGAAATCTTGGCCTCTGGGGCCGGGGAGATGGCTTAGTGGAATAAGTACTTGCCTGGCAAGTGCAGGGTCCTGAGTTCAATCCCCAGTACCACAAAAAGAAAAAAAAAAGTAAAACTAGAAGTGCTATTTGATCCAGCTGTGCCTCTTTTAGGTATCTTCCCAAAAGAGTTAAAAGCATCATGTCACAATGATATATACATATCACTGTTTATACCAGCACAAGTAATAACAGCTAAATCTTGGAAACAGTCCATATGCCCCTGAACACATGAATGGACAAAGAAAATGTGGTATTTATATACAATGGAGTACTACTCTGCCATAAAGAAGGGTACATTTGAGTCATTCTTAGGTAAATGGATACACCTTAAGACTATAATTTTTTTTAATTCAATTTTATTTTGAAGAGTCAAGACTATAATGTTAAGTGAATAAACTGGATACACAAATTTAAATATTGTATTGTATATCCTGTGTGAGAAACTCAAAGGAACAAAAGAAAGAACAGGTATTTTGAAAATAACATGTTCAAATGAGAAGAGAACAAGGGAGCTACAAGAATGAAGGGGAAAACAATTTTAAAAAAGAATGGAAGAAAAAAATGGAAACAAAACTTCTTTTAAATTTTTGGGAGAAGAGTAAGAGTTGAAGGCAAGTGAGGGAAATGGAAAAAAGAATTAAAATATATTACGTACAAGTACAAATTTCCTATTATGAATGTGATCACTATGTATGGCAAATACCTGTATACTAATAAAAATAGATTAAAAACATAGTTTGTTGCCTTCATAACACTTATTACAATGAATAATTATTTTGTATTATAAAGTTCACAAGGGTAGAACCATATCTGTTTTATAATAGCAAATATTTATATACCAATTACAATGAGCCAGTTAGGGGCCAGGGAAATGGCTCAATAAAATAAGTGCTTGCATGGCAAGCGCAAGGATCTGAGTTCGATCCCCAGTTCCACAAAAAAAAAAAAGAAGAAGAAGAAGAAAAAAGAGGTTGTTACAATGAGCCAGTTACTATTCTAAGGCCATTACTTATATGAATTAACTTAATCCTCATAACAACTCCATAGGGCAGGTACTATTCT